ATATGTCTATATCATATATATCTATATATGTTGCTGTCCAGTCATATCTGACTCTTTGTGACCCCATTTGAGGTTTTCTTGGCCAAGATATTAGAATAGTTTGCCATTTCCTTCTCCAGCTCATTTTACAGATGAGGAAACTGAGGCAAACAGGGTGAAGTGACTTGCCCAGCGTCACACAGGAAGGAAGTGTCTGAATCCCCATTTGAACTCAGGTCTTCCTGACTCCAGGACCAGCGCTCTATCTACTGTGCCACCTAGCTGCCACACATAAATTAAGTTTCCTTAAATCGATCTCTTCTTGATTTCAATAATCATGCCCACATGTGAACGCATATTCTTTAATAACTAATAACTTCATATCAGAGTCACCCCTCAGCCCTAAGTATGCTTCAAACCACTCAGAGATGTCCCCATTGAGATCTCTGTCCACTCATCTGTCCTCGTTTTCCCACTGGACAGCAACTACTATCTAAAATCATCCAGTAGGAAAACGACCTTACTATTCCCCCACACATCTGAATGGACCAACTGGGACATTTGTCCTGCTTGCTTAACTACTGGTAAAGATGCTCCAAGTCCTAAATCTGTCTTGATAGTATAGGTCAATCAGTCATTCAACAAAAGATTCTCTTTCTGGGGCTCACAGGTCCTCATACTATCCCATTGGCAACAGTAGAGAAGAACAATTATCAAACTTGTGCCGTCGGATTCTGTTTCAAGGGCCTTTGTAGAACACGACCTTTTGTCTGCTTGAGTCAGATTCTCCACTCTCCCCACCTCTTTCCCACCTCCATCTCGACTACAGATGACAGTATCCCAATGTCCCAATGTGTTGGGACATCGTGTTCCCCATGACAGATACAGGACATAGAAATTCACACAGCTTTTCATCTACATACACTAAAAGCACCAATAGACATAGACCAGAGTTGCTCAGCACAGGCGTACGTGGGTGGGAGATGAACCACTAGAGGGAGTAGCCCTATAAATGAGATCACAGATCCGTTGACAACCCAATGAAGACACTGTCAACCAACAAGCATTTATTAAGCACCTACTATGTGCCAGCGACTGTGCTAAGCGCTGGGGATACAAAGAAAGGCACAAAACAGTCCCTGCTCTCAAGGAGCCCACAGTCAAATGGGGAAGACAACATGAAATAACTATGTACAGTTATTTCTTTTACAGTTAAGAGATACAGATGGGATAAATTGGAGGTAATTGAGAAAACAGAGTCGCTAGTATTTAGGAAGATCGGGAAAGGCTTCCTGTAGAAGGTGGGCTTTGAGCTCCCGCTTGAAGGAAGCCCTGGACACCAGGAGGGGAAGATGAGGCAGGAGACCATTCCACGCATGGAGCTCAGCCAGAGAAAATGCCTGGAGTCTGGAGACAGAGCATCTTTATCAAGATGGAACAATCCTTTGGGGGCAAGTGAAAGAAAAGAATTGGGGCAGTCTAATTCCTGCTAAGAACTCACATATGCCCATGGATACTCTAGGGTTGATTAAGTGCTTATTAGAGAGCAGTTCATTTGATCCTCAGAACCCCATGAGCAGGAAGGTCACTTTACAGATGAGGAAACTGAGGCTCAGAGAAGCTAATTGTTTTTCCGGTACTCGGCTTAGAAAGTGACAGAGTCAGGATTTGAACTCCTGTCTGCTGACTCCATGATGGTTTCTACTATACTGAGCTGCCTCTCAGAGACTTAATAATCTGTTAACCCTGAGTGAGGCTGCTCACGTCAACAGAGGGATGCATGGTTACTGTAGTGACAGGCATCATAGGGTAGCGACTAAGAGTCAGTAAGACCTGGGTTTGATTCCTACCTCAGACTCACTAGCTGTGTGACCCTGGGAAAGTCACTTAACTTCTGCTGCCCCAGTTTTCTCATCTGTAAAATAAGGCTGGACTCAATGACCCCTAAAATCCCTTCCAAGTCTGAATCCATGATTCCGTGATCCTACTTCCCAGTAAAATAACTTGATTGGTTGATCAATATGCCATTGAGGATAGAGTGTTCAGCCTGGCATCAGGAATACCTGGGTTCAAATCTTGTTTCTCACCTTGACCAAATCACTCACTATGCTACAGTGGAAGGGGCATGTTGGCTCTGGAGACAGAGAACTTTGAGTCCATTTCTTCTTCTGACCTTTTCTACCTGTGTGACCTTGGGCAAATGACAACCTACCTGGGCCTCAGTTTCTTTTCCTGCAAAAGGAGAGGGTTGGACTAGCTGCCCCTTAAGGTCCCTTTGCATTCAAAATCCAGGATCCTATGATCAATTTAGCTTCTTTCTGAGCCTCAGTTTCCTCAGCTATAAAATGGGGTAATAATAATACCACCTCTTCCCGGGGTAGTAATAAGGATCAAATGAGATAATCTAATCTATGTAGAGCATTATGTAAATGGGCGCCATTACATTGCAAACACCATTGTAATAATAATAATAGTAATAATAATACTAATAATAACTAACATTTATATAGCACTTACTATGTACCACGTACTGCACTAAATCCTTAACAAATATTATCTCATTTGATCCTCACGATAACTCTGGGAGAGAGGTGCTATTCTTATTCCCATTTCACAGATGAAGAAACTGAGGCAAACAGAAGTGAAGTGACTTACCCAGGGTGATCTGAGGTTGGATTTGAACTCAAGTCTTCCTGACTTCAGGCCCAGTGCTGTGTCCACGGTGCCACCCAGAATAATTAAAACAGTTCTGAATTAGGAGCTGGAAAATCAGTGTTCAAGTTTCAGTATTACTTAGCCCAGTGCCTGGCACATAGTAGGGGCTTACAAAATGCTTGTTGACGCAACTACTTATGAGCTTACTAGCAAGTGACTAACCTAATCTCTGGGCTTAATTAATTAATTAATTAATTAATTATTAATCTAGGGGCAGCTAGGTGGCACAGTGGATAGACTGCCAGCCCTGAAATCAGGAGAACCTGAGTTCAAATCCGACCTCAGACCAAACACTTGACACTTACTGGCTGTGTGACTCTGGGCAAGTCACTTAACCCCAATTGCAAAAAAAAAAAATTATTAATCTATAAAATCAGAGGGTTAGACTCTAAGGTCCCTCCTGTCTCCAGATTCTATAAGTCGTAAACAGCCAGATTTTGGACAAGTTGGTTCAACCAAATCTCTGAATCTGCTTTATGCAGTATAGACCTCATTGCAGATTATTCTATAGATGTCATAATATTTATATTTTTTATCTCTTGCCTCTGTACACCTCCATAACCCATCTCTCATGCATAATATATTCTCCCTCTTCATCTCCAATTCATAAGATCTTTATCTTTCTTCAAATATCAGTCA